CATACTGGATGGTTCCAGGAGATCTGACACCCTCTTCTTGCCTCCACAAGCACCTGCACTCATGAGCACATACATGCACATATACACATACACAAATAATAAATGAAGCTAAAAATGATATTAAAGAAAAGAAAAACATGACAATGGAGAGAAGTTATTCAATGTGGAAACACAGTGATTATATCTGTATGTATGGACCAGGGAGTCCTAAATACATGAAGCAAGAAGTGGCAGAAGTGAGGAGATAGCACTAGAGATCCTACAGACATTAAGGAGGTCATATGAGCTCAGCCAGTAAAGGCACTGGCCAGAAGCTTGACAACCTGAGCTCAATCCCTGGGACCCACCCATTCACATGGAGGAAAGAAAGCGTCTACCTCAGCAAGACCCTGCCTGTCCTCTGACCTCCCTTGTATACCAGTTACAAGTTATTATGCACAAATACCAAATAAAAATAAAAAGTTTTCAAAAGAACTTCCCGAGGGAAAACTAGGAATGACTCCATGTCTATAAATCCAATAACTTGGGTGACTTACTAAACATTCATTCAAGAAAAAACAAGTGCCTTAACTAGCTCCATATTTACAAAAACAATTTTGTTTTTAAAAACTTCCCTACAAAGGAGACTCTGAGTAAGATGGTTTCTGGTAAATCTTAACAAACCTTTAAAGGAAAGGACCTGGATCCAACACAAATAACGGGGATATACTTCCCAATTCATTTTTTTAAAGTCAGTATTGCTCTAGTAAGTCAGATAATAACATTACCAGAAAAAATTATTCATGAAGAACCCTAACAAGTATATATGCAAAAGCTTCAACAAAATCTTAGCAAGTTGAACCTAGAAATACAGGGAGAGAAACCTTTATAATTGAAAGAAATTTATCCAGAAATACAAGGCTGCTTCTATATTTGAAAGTCATGTTAATAAAACAGTACAGAAAGAGACCCACACAAATAGGACCCACCGTTTTTCTTTAGAATGGTGCAAAGACAAGTTAATGAAGAAAAGTATCTATTTTTTTAATTCTGTGGAAACGAATATATAGCCATGTGTAAAACCAACAAATTTCAAATCATACACTGTATCTTATACAAAATTACCTCAAAATTGACAGTGTGAAACATAATCTAGGAGTTGGGGAAATGGTTCAATAAAGTAAAAGTGTTTGTTGCACAAGCACAAAGGCCTGAGTTAAAATCCCCAACACCTAAATAAAAAGCAGGGCATGACCACAAGTTCCTATAGCCACAGGCTATGAGAGAGTGGAGACAAGTTTGCTGGGACTTGCTGAATGCCAGAGCAACTCAGCTCGGTGAGAAACCCTGTTCCAAGAAATCAGGCAGAGAATCAGAGTATTCAATGAAAGGGCATTCAATGTCCCCCAAGTGTGCATATGTACACACACACACACACACACACACACACACACACACACGATTTTTTTTTTTTTTTAGACAGAGAAAGAAGAACAACATTATCACTGGTAAGAACGTGGAGCAACTGGAGAACTGGAGTTCTTATACACTGCTGCTGGAGCTGAGCTTGCTAGAAAGACTGGAAGACCAATCATCTATACAGGGAGCAGAGCATATCTATACACACTCTGGTTTTGTACCTTGGCATTTGATGATCACATGAAAGACAAATGCCCACAGCAGCACAACAGCCATGAACAACCAAACTCCTATGTCATTAGAATGCATGGTCTGTGGCATGATCACAGAATAAGTTGTTATATAGTGAAGAGAGAGAACAAATGAGTGCCGGGCACAGGACATTGGTAAACGTCAATTCATAACAATGAATGAAAAAAACCACACACCCAGAAAACAAACCACACACATCCATTCACATAAAGTTAGAACAAAAGCTAGTCTGTAGTGTTCACAATGTTTGGCCTGGGGAGGAAGGAAGCAAAGACTGGATTGGCAAAAAGGAATTCTAGGGAGTGGGTAAGGGTCTGTTCCTGATTTGGTGGCTACAGGGTCTGTGCACTTGAGCTATGTGGGTAGAATTTTCTCATTCTTTTGTGTAAGTTTCATATATATATATATATATACATACATATATATATATATACATACATATATATATATATTTTTTTTTTTGAGACAGGGTTTTGCTGTAGTGTTAGAGCCTGTCCTGGAACTAGCTCTTGAACGCACAGAGATCCACCTGCCTCTGCCTCCTGAGTGCTGGGATTAAAGGCATGCACCACCACTGCTCGGCTCAATTTCATATTTTAAAATATATACTTTAAATTATACATGTCTATTTGTGAACATGCATGTGCAATTACACACATGCATGTGGAAGTCAGAGGATAACTTGTGGGACACAGCTCTCTTCTTCTACCATGTAAATTCCTATGGATTGAACTCAGGTCATCAAATTTGATAACACAGCCCCTTACCCACTGAGGCATCTCACCAGCCCCAATATACATATTTTAAGTTCTTAAAATAAAAACGGATAAATCTAATGAGGTTCCATTTCCACATATGGGGTGGCACCTCTAGCATAGTGAGGCGACTTGGTTAGCCTCCTGCTTGCTCCTGTGTTCTCAACTAATATCATGGCTTTATTCTTTAAAAAAAGATTTTTAAAAATTACATTGATTGCCGGGCGATGGTGGTGCACGCCTTTAATCCTAGCACTCGGGAGGCAGAGGCAGGCAGATCTCTGTGAGTTTGAGACCAGCCTGGTCTACAGAGCTAGTTCCAGGACAGGCTCCAAAGCCACAGAGAAACCCTGTCTCGAAAAACCAAAAAAAAAAAAAAAAAAAAAAACATTGATTGTGTGTATTTGTGCCACAGCAGAATATAAGAGTAAAACTTTTAGGAGTTAGTTGTTTCCTACCATGTGGGTCTCAGGGGTCAAATTCATGATGTTGGGCCTGGCAGAAATTATCTGTACTTGCCAGCCCCATGGCCTCTTTTGTGACATCCCAGCCACACTGCTCTTACTAGTTCTCACACACACTATGCTTGTTCTTGTCTCCTGGGGCTCTGTGATGTTCCTTTATCACATCTGTTTGGGCGATTTGTTTCTCATCCTTCCCTTCTTGATGGAGGAAGGTCATTGGTTAAAAAATTAAAGAAACTGCCTTGGCCCATTTTATTGGTTAGAACATAGGTGGGTGGAGTAAACAGAACAGAATGCTGGGAGGAAGAGGAAGTGAGCTCAGAGACGCCATGCTCCCCTCTCCCGGGCAAACGTGATAGCTCTGCTCTCTGAGGCAGACGCACACCATGAAGCAAGCCGCCAGGTCAGACATGCTGAATCTTTCCTGGTAAGACTGGTGCTACACAGTTTATTAGAGATTGGTTGATCGGGATATCAAAATTAGCCAGTAAGGGCTAAAGCTAATGGGCCAAGCAGTGTTTAAATGAATACAGTTTGTCTGTTGTTATTTCGGGGCATAAGCTAGTCAGGTGGCCGGGGTGCCAGGGAAGCAGCCCCGCCGCTCATATTGCAACACCTTCTCACTTTAAATATCACTTTAAAACAGCTTTCCTGACCCTCTTATTGAAGGCAGCCTTGCCAGTCTACTCCACAGCCACTCTGTTCCAGGAATGGGCTAGTCTTTTCTACAGTGGACCGGAGAGTAAGTATCCCACCCTTCAGAGGCCTGATGAGCTCTGTCACAAGGACTCAGCATTTTCATGCTATGGGGAAGCATCTATGGATGGTGGGAAATGGTGGACATGGTTGTGTTCCAATAGAATATCATCAATAAATACTAATGAGTTTCCTCTCATTTCATATCTCATAAAAAAGCCTCCTTTTGGTTCCACCCAAAGCATTTAAAAATAGATTAAAAAAAAATTAGGAATCCAGGCTAGATTTGGCCCATGACCAGTCTCTATTATGTCACACTGTTCTAAACCTTTTTTATTAGCCCAGTGGTGATGTGGGATGCCCTTCTTTATGCCGTGAATAGGTTTTACTATAGTTGGTTAATAAAAAGCTGATTTGGTCAATATTCAGGCAGAATAGAGCCAGGCAGGAAATTCAAGCAAAGATAAAGGGAAAAGGAAGGCAGAGTCAGAGAGACAACAGCTGTTGAAGGAGTAAGATGCCAGAGTATTACTGGTAAGTCACTGGGTATGTGGCAACGCACAGATTATTAGAAATGGGTTAATTTATATGTAGAGCTAGCCAGTAAGTAGTCTGAGCCACCAGTCAAACAGTCTGATGATGTGGAATTCCCCTCTTTATGCTGTGAATATGTTTTATTACCATTGGTTAATAAAGAAGCTGCTTTGGCCCTATGGCAGGGCAGAATAGAATAAGGTAGGAATTCCAAACAGATAGAGGAGGAAAGAAGGCAAAGTCAGAGAGATGCCATGTAGCTGCCAAAGGAGACAGATGCTGTTCAGAACCTTACAGGTAAACCAGGAGCCTCATGGTAAAATATAAAATAATGTAAATGGGTTAATTTAAGATATAAGAGCTAGTTAATGATATGCTTAAGTGATTGGCCAAGCAGTTTTTTTAGTTAATATAGTTTCTGTGTGATTATTTCCAGTCTGGGTGGCCGGGAAATGAACAGCAGCCTCTGTCTACAAATTGGCACCCAACATGGTTATTCGAGAACTGGCAGACTAAAAAGAAACCTCCGGTTATACCATGGCCATCTGGAATGACATCATTTTGGGGTTAGTGAGATGGCTTATCAGGTAAAGATGCTGTGGCTGACAACTCGGGTTCAATCTCTGGAGCGCACACAGTGGGAGGAGAAAACCAACTCCCTTGAGGTATCCTTTGATCTCTACATGTAGTCTATGGCATGTGTATACCCATATACATACAAATACATAAACAATAAGTAAATAAATGTTCAAAAAGTCAAAGATACCATTTAAATCCATGTGTATCTCCTCCACCCCTAGAGTGGGAGCTGCAAAGGCAGGGGGCTTGCGTGGTTCCCACTACATTTGTACTGCCCATCACATCCCTTGGCTCTATGAGAGAAACGAAGGATTAAGCCAACCTTGGTGTGACTCTGGCCTGGACTTTGTTACTCTTCTTTCGAACAGGGATCAAGGGTGTTTGTATAGACTCTTCCTTCAGTGTGTCTTCAATTAAGGAATCTGGTCGGGTTGACTGGGATCGTACAAGGGTTTCTCCTTGGTGTAAACTTGACTTACGGCTCCGATCAGGATAAGACCCAGATTTCAACTTGACACGACTAGCTTCTGTGTCTTCCTTCATGGTGGGATATTCTATGGTAAACAGACCTGCCAACAAGATTACTGTTGTCACTTTCCCAGACTACCACGTCACCTCTGCCCCTGCTTCTTGGCTCCTACCTGGACCATCAGAGTCTACTTTGGCTCACACCCACAGACCCCTTACTGGCTTTTGTCCAGTCTGCCTTGCTCTGTATCTAGCACACTGCCTTAGTAAGTAGTCAGCAAGAATAAACACATCTCATTTCTAATTGTCCTCATGATCCAGCTTTAGTCTTACTTTCCCAGATGCCCTGTATTTCACTCAGCACTTTATAGCACTCAACAGTAAGGTTAGGTACACCATGTGTTCCCTTTGCTGAGAAGAGGTTGGTTTCATCCTCCTCTTTGGTGTGTTGTGGGATTTTTGTTTCTCTGGCTTGCTTTTTTACTTAGTCCAGTAGAAATTTCTGAGGCCAGAGACCTAGTGCTCCTTTATTCACCTAGCAAGCATTTATTGAATGAGTATGCTATGCGTAAAGACAACTCAAGACAGGCCTTTTGCTGCTGAGAAAAGATGGGATGGGAAGAAAAGGAGATAAATATTCACAAGGCTAGGTAACAAGATTTTTATATATAATTTATTTAAATTTATCTTATGTTCATTGGTGTGAAGACATCAGATTTCCCTGAAACTAGAGTTACAGACAATTGTGAGCTGCTATGTGGGTGCTAGGAATTTAACCCAGGTCTTCTGGAAAAGAGCAGCCAGTGCTCTTAACCACTGAGCCATCTCTCCAGCCCTGGTAACAAGATTTATACCTAGAGCAGTGTTGAGAACCATCAGAGCAGCCATGGGAACCATCAGAATGGGAACCATCAGAATGGGAAGGGGAGCCTTACTTTGTAAGGGAAGTCAAGGAAGGCTCACAAAGGAAAGGCACAATTGAACTAAGCCTCTGCTGCCAAGGAGAGATTCCTTGGGGAAGCTGTGTGGGGAGCATGGCTGCAGGCCCAGCCAGGAGGTAGCACCTTGTTTCCAAGGGCTCGCAAGTAGAGCAGAGAGCACAGACATGAAAGCTCCTGAAGCCTGTCTGACTGGGCCCAAGAGTGCTCTGTGTCTAGCAGGGACCGTTTTGTGAAGTGATTGGATTTTTCTCTTCTTCTGTTATCCACAGAAGAGAGTAGAGCAAATGACAGATGGTACAAGGGACAAAACAGAAAGGGCCCAGAGGGATGCACAAAATCTATGAGCTATGGAAAAGTAACATAATTGCATGGAGACACTGAAGGCATATAGGGAAAAAGTTCTCTCAGCTCACCAGTCCCAGCTGTGTGTCCTCAGGCACTCCCCATAGAAAATACTGGTTGCCCTTACCTCTCAGGAGGCTGAAACTCAAGAGGTGAAAAAGACTGAATTTTGAAACAGGTGACCCAAGAGTTAAGAGACCTTCTAGTAGGCCTATGCACCTTTCTACCCTTACCTGCTGCCAGCAACACAGAGTTCATAAACTGAGTCACAGTCTTCTGAAACCGCTTCTTGATCTCAACCAGGGCTCTGTTTATCTTTAACATCTTTTCATCCAAGGTACTGATTCTGCGAACTGGCTGGAGGAAGGTAAAGGGGTTGGGGGTAGTGGTCACCTGCCCCCAGGAAGCTGTCTGCCTGTTCAGCAGGACTGACTTTGCTCTGAAGGTTAAGGGGCTGTTCCTTCTTCCTAGAATACATCTCTGTCCCTCCTGGCCTAGTCTTTCCTGAGTCAGGGCCAGATCTAACTCAGATTTTCCTATTGTGGAGGGCCTCTCTAATTCCACTGTGTAGTACTACTGCTTGCATTGACTCCCACTGTGCTCTGTGACTGCAAGACAAGTTAGCACTTAACTAAGCAATTGGGTACATATGTTTTGTCCCCCTAAACTGCAAGCTTCTTGGAGGTAAGGACTGTGCCTTGGTGTGCTCTGATTTCATGCAGAAGTGTTCAATAAATATTATTGCTTTATAAATAATCTGATGCAGAGAGGCTCCTCTGGAGTGTCCACTGCCAGTCTCTCCCTATGGTGATATACATCTTTTAGAATCCTTCCACCCAGCCAGCTACCAGAGTACTGGCTGTGGACAACTCATAGTTGGAAAGCTATGCTTGGCCAAGGTTACAGAGACCAGTGGGTCATCTACCGCACAAAGGCCCAGGCCTTTACCTGGAGTTGGAATTACTCTGATGGGTCACCTGGACTCCCTTTGGTATCCAAGAGGCCTTTGCTTCAGCTTCCCTGAAATTCAACCTCTCTCTTCCCTCATCCTCAAAGTAGTCATTTGCAGTAGGCTGTGTGCCAGTCTTGTTTTCCGAGGAAGCTCTGCGCACAGCCGAGTGCCTGCATGGTACTGCAAAACCATGCTCAGAATCCAGACTTCACTGCAGTCAGCCTTTCCCTGGGAAGCCCTTGTTTCCTTAGCCAGTGGCATTTGCTCTCTAATAAACATCTGCACCTACCCATTCCCAACATGTTTTCCTGGGCCTTTTTCATTTTTCTCACTTCCTTTATCTCTTAACTTGGCTGGCTCCTAAAGAGCAGGCTCTATGCTTTTCTATTGCCCTCTGAAATTAGTGGAAGCATGAGAAAGTTTCTTCTGTACAATTTAAGTCTCAGGTGGAGTGAGTGGGATGCGGAGTAGACAGATATTCTGGACAAGGACTAAGTTGGTCTTTCAGGCAAGAACCATGTAAAGTCCCAGCCTCCTTCTGAGCAGTTCCAGCCACTGCTTCTGGGATAATTTTATTTATTTATTTGTAATTTATATCCACCCAGGCTCCAAAAGGGATCGGAAGCAGCACTCTTGGCTAATAAAGCATTTAAGTCAAAGCATCGCCTCGCTTCCAAAGTGCTGCCTAGATAAGAAATATTTAGTGAGAAACCAGGCCTCAGGGCTGTAAAATCTGGGTCTGCCATTCTGCCTGTCGCTGTGATAGGTGGCTCTCTCTGGGATGGGTGTCTGGGGAAACCATTTAACAAGCTTCCCAATGACAGAGACACTACCCTCCCCCAGTTTCAGCCTTTCTAGATGGCCATGGATTTTTATAGAACTAGAGCACACATGGTATGTTTGAAAGGACTGTGAGAATCCTAGGATGGAATTAAAGTCAGGTTGGCCTTTACACATCACTATATAGATGGGAAAACTTGGGCTCAACCAGAAATGTGCCTGGAGTTAGGTCCTGTGCTCTCTTCCTAACCTGGGCTCTTTGCCAGACCCAGTACTCTGAAAGTTTTCTTGGTCCTTGAAACTTTATCAATTCCAAGGACCTAAGATGACCAGTTATTTGAACCTGGGAAGTTCATGCAAAAATAACTTGAAATGCTGAACCTGGTGTTCAGGACAAAGTTTGGAAATCCTGTTGCTCACAGAAAATGATTACATTTATTTTTATATTTATGTTCATCTGGTTATAAATATACATTATAGAACATACCATGCATTTTTAAATACAAGCAATTACAGACAATGCTTTTTTGGCAGGCTGCCTTTGCTGTCACCAGTGTTTGTCATCTATAATGCAGCATGTTTTCTGAGGCCATTTTAATGCATCGGCCTGTTTATCCCTACCTTAAATGCTCCCAAGATAGTCATGTTCTTTGAGTTATTGAGTCATTTTAAATAACTTTTCACCCTTCTACTGCACTGTCAGACTGTGCCTTTGTGAGCCTCTTGATGGAGACACTACCCTAGACATTTAGCATGGTCTAGTAGAAATACAATGTAAGCTAGTTTAATATTTAGCAACTACATTCAAAACATCCTAAAGTTATAATTCATTCTAACAATATATTTATTTTACTCAGTATATAAAAATGATCACTTAACACACAATGAAAATTTGAAATTACTGGAAAATTTTATATTGTCTTTGAAGCACAATAATTTTTTTTTACTGAGATCTCTGATCAGTTTGCACTTATTGCACTTCAAGGGTTCGACAGCCCTGTATGACTTTTACTTGAGTCTGCCACATTGAACAGATGCTTTTGGCCTCTAATTCTGGCTCACTAAGTTGTACTAAGGTAAGGCAAAATCACATTTGAATTACTTAGTTTTCCTAGGCTTAGAATGTGCTTGCACACACAGACTTGAGAGTCATTTCATTCAGTTCTCAGGATGGTCTTTGAGTTGCTTATATCATGGCTCTCACGAAACACTCAGAGATCATCAGACATAGTATGCATTTAACAATGACCATTAGAGCAAGAACCTGGAACCAAATGGACATGAGAGAGGCATCAACATGCAAGCACATTCATCTCAGCTTATTCGACAAGTCTACCTGCCTGCCATGTTTGCTTCCTTCCTCCCTTCCTTCCTTTTTGCTGGAGATGGAACTAGCCTCCCATGCGCTAGCAGCACTCTACTGTGTACTGCACCTAAGCCCACTGTAGGCATCTGAGTGTCATTGGTGTTTCTATGAGAGCCTTGATGAACACTGTCTCTCCTCATGTCTCAGCAGCTCCCATAGGCCTTTCCCATGACACTAACCAGGTTGGACTCATAATTGGTTTGTGTTCTTCTGTGCCTTAGACTGAAAGTTCTATTCACTAGAAAGTGCCTTCATTTCTGCACCTCCAGCAGCTACTGTGGCACACTACAAGTGTTAACAAATGCTTGCTGGGTTACTTGGTAAATCAATGAGAGAGAAATGCTGCTAGAATGAAAATGCAATGGGTAAAGCAGGCACAACGCTTTCTTCTGGGGAGAGCATTGTCTTCTTCATATACTTTGGGTCTACAACGAATTCTTGTCCCATGTCTTTGTCTAACTCAATGTTAGCTATCTTGGAGCGCCTGACAGCTTATGGCATACTATGGTAATATCCCCTAGCTTAAGAGCCTCTTGGCCAGATCCTTAGAATTTACCATCCCAGCGGGACACCATTGAATGGGAAAGGGATACTATTTGTAATTTCTGTAGGCGCACAAGTGTGAATATGGACTGGCACTGGGCAAACTGCTTCTGGTCCTCTAAGCCAATCTTAGCAAAGTATCAACGGGAATTATGGTGATCTGCCCCATTCACAGGAGCTCTCGGTTATTCCAATTTTATTTCCCATGCCAAGGGTTGCCTTTTGGACACCTCAAAGTTTGGGGATGGCATCCTCTTCATCTGCTCTATCTTTTCCACAATGCCGATTTAGCCTGGGCCATAGCTAGACCAATGAATCGAAAGACTGAACTTGAAAAGGTTCTGTTCAATTTTATCCCCCCAATAAATAACAGGAAATACAGCCACCGCCTCTCTTTGTTTGTGGGATCTATAGCCTCACAGATGTGAGCATCTCCACAGATAGTTCAACCTGAAGGTGCTCAAGTCCCTTGTATAAATGGGATTCATATCCCCTGTCTTTTAACCATCTCTAGATTACTTGGCAGACTAGTACAGTGCAGGTCTTGCATCAGTTATTGCTCCACTGTGTGATTCAGGGAGTGAGGCACAAACAGTTTGTGTGTGCTCAGTTCAGACACAGTATCTTTTTCTGAGAATTTTCCATTCATAGTTGCTTAAATATGAGGCTATGGAAGAGCCTTGCATAGGAGGTAGTTGGAGAAAAGTTCCAGAGCTATGATGTGGCTAGCTTTGCTGAGACACCCTGGGCCAGGGCTAGATTCCCCACCTACTTTGCTCTACTCGTCTACTTTGCCTTACCCGTTTGTCATGCACTATGCCATGGGGACAGCTTTTGGGCGACACACTGAGTGTTACCGTCTCATTCATGGAGGTGAAGGTGACAGTGATGGAGTCTGGCCCCAAGACTGTTAGCTTCATTTGTTCATTCACCTGCAGATAAAGAAACCAGCACACATAAATCCTCATTTCTTCCAAGTCCAAGGCACAAACCCTTCTTGGCTTGGAGCTGAGATTTGTAAGCTCTTTCTGGGCCTTTTGCTAGACTCTTAACTTTCATGTAGAAGACAGAATACCAGTGTTCTTTGGAAGATTAACTGAGAAAGTAAACAATGCCTTCATTTCCTGTTTCCTTCCTTCCTTCCTTCCTTCCTTCCTTCCTTCCTTCCTTCCTTCCTTCCTTCCTTCCTTCCTTCCTTCCACCATTGGAAACAGCTGTGAAAGCAGCACAGGTGTCAAACAGGTGAGTCAGTCTGAATCCGTAGGCTGCCCTGGGATGTGACTACTCAAATACCAACTAATTTGAGTCTTGTTCTGTTAGCAAGCTGTTCAGTCTGTCTGAATCTCAAACCCTTTAGCATGAAGTAGCCATGGAGTACTGTTCAAAGGGGGTTTTTAATGACAGGAGTGTCTTCTTAAGTCTTAAATGCTCCTGCCCTCATAAGAGAACAGTGTCAGAGGATGTACAACAGGGCAGCTTGTTTAGTTGTGAACAGTTTGCCAATTCTGAGTGTTATTCATACGAGACCACAAAGCGTGTAGCCCTCCATCACTGTGCTCGTCCCAGTCTTCAGTGTTCTGACCTACAACATCTCTTTAACGACAAGATACCCCAGACTGTTCTGCATCAAGAGAATTCTCTGTTCTGCTCCTCCTACTTCCACTAGTTCAGATGTTGACCTGGTAGCCAGGGCTTCATTTTCTCATCTCTGAGTCTCTGCCTCACACACACTGTCATCTGGATCTGGCCCATCAGTATCTGAAAGATAATAAACCATGATGTGCCAAATCTCTGGATTTCTTCAGACTTGCTGATTACTCTCACTTAAGAGAAACTACCCACTCTGGGTCTTCTAGAGAAACAGAATAGAGATGTCTTCAGGAACTCAAGCTTTGCTTGAGGGACCAGATTCTATTCTAATTTTGCCTCTTAGCAATTGAATAATTTAGGGAAATCAATAATACAGGCATTCTCTAAGGGTGCTGATATAGTTTGTGGGCTAAAACATGCACAAAGCTTAACATAGTACAGCTATTGTCCCACTCCCTGAAGATGTGCCCTTTTCTAAAGCTCACAATATGAATGTTCTATAAACTCAGTCAAGGCTCCCCTTCTGAAGAGATCATTTGATACTTGGCTTGTCTGTTCTCTCCAAGTTCTTGTTCCAGGTCAGAAATAAGGTCATAGGTACCCAGAGAGCTTTTCTACTAAGTCAAATAATGATCATCTAAAATTGTAAAGGGTATAGTAATATATATTTGCAAAATATTATAACAAGTCTGTTATTCTGCATGCTAACTTAAAAATTAATTTTAAAATGCTCATATTCATTCCTGAATCCCAGGACTCTTGCAATGTCTCCATCCTCATCTATCTCTGCAGTTCATGCCTGAATGCTAGCATTCATCTGATGAAATGGTCCTGTTTAAAAAAAAAACACTGCCAACATTTCTAACCATGCTAGTTCTTGCTAGTAACTACACTAATCATTCTACTCATTCATCTGCTGATCTTTCCTTTTCTAAAAAATGTATTATTTTTCATTATGTGTGTTGGGAGTTATGTGTATGCAAATGCAGATGCCCACAGGGACAGAGTCTTCTGATTCCCTGAGCTGGAGTTGCAGGTCATTGTGAGCCATCCAGTGAGGGTATTAGAAACCAAACTCAGGTCCTATTACAAGAGCAGAACACCATCTTAAGCACGAGTCGGTGCTCTAGCTCTGGTCTTTACTCTCATTAACCTTCCACATTGAAGCTGAACCGAGCATTCTAGCTCTCAGCCTTAGCCCTACTTCTAGTAGAGCTAAACCAATGCCTAAAAGGTTGACCCTCCCACAGGTAACTAAATAGTTGAAGAAAATGAAAACAACCCCCCCCCAAAAAAACCTACTTAGTGGTTCAGAAGAGTGAGCACAGTCAGGCAGATTTTGAAGAGCCAAACTTAAGGATGAGTATGAAAGGAACTTCTGTCTCAAAGTTCTAGCTTAGAGGCCACAGTCATGGTTAAAACTACCACTTTCTGGTGAAGGATCCAAAGACCAGAACATGGGCAACAGAAGTCACAGTAAAGTATACAAAGGGTTCTAGAAGGGACTGAGTCTGAGGAGAGTCTAGAATTCTATGTACAAACTTGCCCACATCTCTGGCCAGTCCCTAAACCCTAAATGTGAAGACAGTCTCAAGACAGCTCACAGAGAAATTTAAAATGCTGTGATTTGAGGTTATGTCTATTGCTGATGGGGAAAAGTTCATAGCTTCAGTTGACCAAGATCTTTGCCTTTTAGAACAATTACATCCAATACCATTCACAGAAAGACACCAGGATTCTGAGATTCCACAGCATGACAAGGGCAGTCTATAACCCAAAATTCTATGATAGAAGAAGGACTAATAAATAATGAGCCATTCTCAAGGCAACAGGTCAATGACTAAAGTTGGCCATGTTTGGCACAACCAGGACACAGAAATCTTTACACATTATACTCTGAGACACATGATGCAACAATATGCAATGATGTAAGGGGAAATACGCTTGTGAACTGTTAAAAGGAAAGCTCTCTGCAAAAGGATAATATATAGAGAAAACTAAAGAGAATTCTAGAATACTGAAATCTAAACTTTTTATAAGGTTATCATAAAAGCAAAAATGAGATGATAAGGAATCCAGAAAATTTGGAAACAGATCAAGAGAAATTACTTCTGAAAAGCAAAGAGACAAGATTAGAACCATAACAAAAAGAGCTTGAAAGACCCATGGGGCAGTCAGGAATTAAAAGCATTTGCTACTCTTCCAGAGGACCAGAGTTCAGTTTCCAGAACCCATACCAGGTATCTCACAACTGCCTTTTAGGGGATTCACCATCCTTCCCTGGCCTTCAAGGGCATCTACACACATGTGGCATACAAACACACCTTAAAAGTATAATATATATAATTGGCACCTCCAAAGAAAAGGAGACAGTCTGGGACATAGTTGTATTGTGGATTGTTTATACTTCTAGAAATGATAGAAGATTTTTCAAATTTGATTAAATGCATTTACATATACTTACAATTTAAAAGATTAAAAAGCAAATAAAATAGGATAAACATGACAATCATACTTTAAAAAAATCATCAAACTTAAGTGTCCTAGTTTGCTTTCTATTGCTGTGATAAAGACCACTTTGCCCAAAAGCAAGTTTGGGAGGAAAAGGTTTGACTTCCATGTCCCAGTCGCAGTCCATCACTGAGAGAAGCTAACACAGGAACTCAAGCATGGCAGGAACAGAGACAGAAGTAAGGAATGCTACTTACTGGCTTGTTCCTCATCACTGTTTGGCTCTCTTTATTTTAAAACATTTACTTTTATTTTTATATGTATGGGTATTTTTCCTGTATGTACATCTGTGCACCATGTGTATACATTGTTCATGGAAGCCAAAAAAGGGAGACGGATCCTCTGGAATGGGAGTTACAAATGGATGTTAACTGCCATAAGGGTGCTGAAAATCAAACTGATCTTTTGGGAGAGTAGCCAGTTTTTAATCACTGAGCCATCGCTCCAGGCCTTCATCTTGCTTTCTTATACAACCTAGAACCACTTTGCCCAGAAGTAGCACTGATTACAGTGTGTTGGATTCTCCCACATTAATCATTAATAAAGAATATGCCCCTGCCACAGACTTGCCTACAGGCCAATCTAATATGAGACTCAATTAAAATTCTCTCTCTTTCTAGATATGTCTATGTTTGTTATCAAAATGACAAAAACTAACCAGCACACCAGAAACTAAGAGAAAACCTTTAAAACCTAGCAACCAGAGAAAGCAAACAAATTAGGGTAACTAAAGATTCAGACTTTCATCCTAAACTATGGAAGGAAGGCACAATGTGACACTATTTTCAAAATGTTAAAAGATAAAAGAAAGCCAATCCAGAATCTCATATCCCATAAAAATATCCTTTAACAGCTGGGCAGTGGTGGCGCACGCCTTTAATCCCAGCACTCAGGAGGCAGAGGCAGGCGGATCTCTGTGAATTCGAAGCCAGCCTGGGCTACAGAGTGAGTTCCAGAACAGGGTCCAAAGCTATACAGAGAAACAATGTCTTGGGGGGAAAAAATCCCTTTAACAATGACATTTTTCACATGAAAACAACAGCAAACTTGTTGCCAAAAGATCTGTTTATAGAAATGCCAAAGAAGTTCTTCAGATTGAAGAGAAATAATACCAGAGAGTAGCTTGGATTTGGAGGGCAGAATGAAGGGAGTTAGAAAAAGCCAGTATTTGAGTTAAGAGAGCATGCAAACTCTCCAGAGCCTGATACCTGGTGCCTGTCATCCTACCCTATGTTATCTACTTTCTTCCATAGGAAGCAAATATGGACTCTTAAAAGGTGCCATACCAATCCCCCAACACAAAGCCTTTAGAAGTAATGTTCATTCTTTCATTTTACTGAGAATTGCACTCCCTTCGCCACCTCTGAATCATACACTGTCACTCCAAGTTATAATTCATGGGCCACTTTTGATTCCAAGCAACTTCTGATCATATAGGCCTTTGCTGTGCACCTCCCGGGGGAACTAAAATATGAGGCACAGTGCTAAATAGCTGGGCATGACCGTGTACACCTGTAATCCTAGCACTCAGAAGCCTGAGCAGAAAGATCAGGAGTTCAGTGCCATCCTATCTGTATTATTGCCACAGACAGGCATTACTGTACAGCAACTTTCTCTGAACTGAAACACTGTCCTGGAGGGAGGAAGTACTTAGGAAATAAACAAGTTTACAAATCTAAGAAAGCTGAAATTTAAAAGAGTGTTGGGGCCTCTGCCTAGGCTATACAAGACATAACATAGTCTCCTTCTGGGGAGGAGACTCTGGTATCAGCTATGCTGTGTAGAGAGACTCTGGTACCTGTCTAGCTGCTTACAAGCTGTATAGAAAACTCCAGGGATGCATCTTTGTGGGTTATCAAGCATACCAGGGTTAGATGTCTGATAATGCAGCTTGCTTTAGAGTCATTCAGGCTTTGTAAGGAACTCTCATGAATATGTTCATAAGTAACTCCAATAAGCCAGACTGTGGTAGAATCATTTCTTTAGTCATGCATTTATGCCCTATGTAGGGCAAATAGACATTGTTCACATCTCAGGAAAGTCACACAATGGGCACACACACATACACATACATAGACACACATAAAACCCTCTAAGATCAGCAAGATGGCTCAGTATATAAAGGTGCATGCTGCCAAGACAGACTAGGGGACTCACATGGCAGGAGAGAACAAACTCCTTGCAAAGTTGTCCTCTGACCTCTGCATGTGTTTTATGGAACACACATGCATGCGCAAACACACACACACACAAAGAAATATGTGCTACATGTTTATTATGTTCCTCACGTAGACAAATTGCTGTCTTGCACTCTTATAGCTGAATAACAATTTTGGCCTAAAAGTTATAGAGTTAGAAACAAATGAAATAAAGACTCACTTCTAGCCTAAGTATGCCAAATTTGGTTTTGGGACACAGCTAGTTCTCTGATTAGACAAGTCCTACTTACTGAAGGTAGAATATCTTAGCTGATACCCATAATGTTCAAACTTCTGTAAACATGCTTAACCACAGTGAAATTTTCCCTCCATGATCATGAAACATAAGGTTACCTGTAAATAGCCACATAGGCAATAAATTACAAAACTGATATAAGCCTATAAAAGCTGTAAGAAACTATAAGCGGGCAGTTGTACTTGCAGAACATGAGCTCAGCCCAAGCTAGCTAGCATAAAATGAACTCAAGTTCTCCAACTCTTCAGGTATTGCTTGATTCTTTACTAGCCAGTTTTCTACAAAATAAATGTAATAAACTTCTAAAAACCTGAAAATTAAAATTATCAAGAATAACACTGTCAACTACTATAACTGTTGCTTCGTAAAATGAATATTCCACAACAAAATGCAACAATGTAAATAAAAATCAAATAGAAAGGAGGTTGCCATGAAGTGTCAGTAAAGTAGCCCACAGTTCTACAGGCTGGAGGAAAGCAAGAGAACCTACTCTGAACCACTACTGACTGACTCATAACCTCTGAAGATCATGTGGCTGCTGGGGCAGTGCAGTCTCACAGGTGCTTGCCTTCCGATGCTGAGTAGCCTGTGGAAGCCACCCCCTACCCATGATGCCCACATACCTTGTATTCCAGAGAGAGTAATGTCTCAGTCTTGTTAGCCCAGCTCCACTTATGGACTATGCAGCCTTTTTGGTCATTTGTGATTCCACCTTCCTCATCCAAAACCAAGACATATGGACAGCTGGGAGATACACAGAAGATAGAAACTACTTAGAGGCCCTCAAAGAATTCCCTCCTTACTGCAGGCTACAAACAGGCAGGGCTGGGAAAGCCTGCCCTAGTCTGAAGGAATGTTTACCTGACATAAACAACCTGAGGAAGGGAAGGAAAGAGTCTGAAGACTCCTGTGAGCAGCTTCACCTTTCCAGCCACCGTAGTCTAGGACTCCTTACACCACCTGACGCTAGTGGGGCATCTTTGGAGAAGGGACAGGCTGAGGTAGATAATGTAGGCTCAAGCAAAACCCAAAGGATGAAAAATTATTTTTTTCTGTAGTTCTGTAGCCTGGCACAAAAATATCCAGCACCAAAATGTGAGCTACAACATCCAAACATGAAAATAACACCTTCCAAAAAACAACTTATGAAAAGCTACGCAAAGATCAACTCTTAGCTATCAGGAGAGTGTGCTGCTCCTAATCTGAACTGTCAACTTGAGTAGCTTTGATATGCCTAGATTAGTGGAGTGTGCCTGTGGGTTTATTTGTGTTTTCAGAGATGGACAGATCCTACGTGTTCTTTGATGCGTTCATAATATGCTGGCACCATTAGGAGGTAGGGAAAGACAAGAGAAGGAGGAAGTTAGTCACTAAACTGTATCTTGGGGAGGGATGTATTTTGTTCTGATCCCTTGTAATCTCCTGTCTCTATTTCCTAGGTCACCATGAAGTGAACTGCTCTAATCCATTGTGCTATACCAAATTAACACCTCTGAAACTGCAAACCAAAATAAATCTCTCCTTAAAGTTATTAATGTCAGGTACTTCACCACAGTAATGGGTAATAAATACACCACACAAGTTGCATTCGCACATTTGTTTACACATTCCTAATGTAAGATACTTTTCCCACTAAAAAATTCTCCCAGGGGTGAAAACTGGGGGTGCTGCTCAATGGCAGAGTACTTGCCTAGCATTTATGAGGTTCTGGTCCTTGGCACTGGAAAACAATGGCAACAAAAACCCTGTGTATCAGTCAGGTGGTGGTGCACACCTTTAATCCCAGCACTTGGGAGGTAAAGGCAGGCGGATCTCTGTGAGTTTGAGGCCAGCCTGGTCTACAGAGTAAACTCTGGTATAGCCAGGGCTACACAGAGAAACCCTGACTCAAAAAACAAAAACAAAGATTAATGAACGAACAAACAAACAAACAAACCACCCTGTTTATCGGACCAAGGAGGAGGGAGATCTTGATGTTCTAGTGTACCAGTGGGGGGACTTAGAGTAGGTTCCTTCTCACTTTGTGAAGTACAATATGTACTTAGCAGCTGGGCCTCAAAGAACCACAGGTTCCTACAGGTACTGCTTCACTCTGCCCTCAGCACCTCCCTAGACTCCTTAAACTAGGAACTTTTAGTCACTAATTATACACAGTACCAATTATCTCAAGGGATACTTCATGAGGCTAGATGTCCCTTGACGTACTCACCAGTTCTTTAGGTTGTAGTAAACACAGCCTTGGCCATCAGCATTGAACAGAGCCAGGAAGGTGTTAGGCGTGTCATTAAAGAGGCAGGTGATGGGTTTCCCTCTGCAGCACGTGGGAATCTGAAGCATGGCAATGTTTCCAGAGGGATAGCTGGCAGACACAGTCAAGTCAAACATAACTCTCCAGGTGCTGGCTATCAGGGTCCCCGCAGAAACAAGCCTCCTTACGAAAGGATTATTCTGTTGTGAATTGCTCCCTTCCTTCAAAGATCCTGCCTGTGCTTTGCATGTGTCACAGATAATTATGGAACCCAGACATGCTCCAGGGCCTTCCTTTCTACTACCTTATGGGAAGTGCTCCTTTCTCCATTTCACATGTCAGGATTTTCATGGGTCTACATGGTACTACACAGACTTTTAGTACTAACACATGAAGGTCTTAGGTACAGGGTGAGGAGGTCACCCCATGCTTTGCCTCATCTTACACCACCAGTGAGTGACAGGGCCAGGGGATGATGTCCAGAACCAGCAGTATTTCTAGTACTGTCAGGCTGCCTCCTCTTTGGACCAATCTAGTGGGAAAATACGTTCTCTCTGCTCCTTCCTTAGCTTGAGAGGTCCCAAGAAGCACTGGTCCTCAGAAGAGCTGTGTCGGCAGCTCCTTCTCTATGCAGAATTGCAGAAGCAGTGCTCCAGGTAGGGCTGTAGTAACTGGTACCACAATGTGTCCTCCTAAATCTTTCCCACTAGCCAAATAAAAACAGAAGTGGAAAGAGGGAGGGTGATAAGCAGGAGGAAAAGACACAGAGTGTCACACAGAGTGACCCACAAGATGGCACAGACCAGAAATTCTAGGCCTAGATAGGTAGTCCAGTGATTGAAACAAAAATTACACTAAGCAAATGAAGCAGCAAGTTAAAACAATAGAAGAAAAAAATAATTGTTCTGGAAAGTCAATGAGTTGAAATTATACAGACTGTACATTATAAAGGAAAAGAAGGAATTGTATGAGAACTCATGCCCGGACTTTCTGAACTTGGGACACTGAGGCAGGAGATGATTGTCAGTTCTAAGCTAGCCTGAGCTACACAGTTTCAGGTCAGCCTGAACTACAATGTGAGATATTATATTTTTTAATCCAAGAAAGAATAGAACCTCAGAGCCCCAGGAAAGATCATTAGAAAGTCAGGAAAGAGAGGAGACAGAGAGGAAATCTACAGAAGCAAAATATACTGAATGAAGCTGGGCATGGTTGCACATATCTTTAATCCTAGCATTTGGGAAGCAGAAGCAGGCAAAAATCTCTTGAGTTCCAGCCCAGCCAGGGCTACACAGAGAGACCTTGTTTCAAAAAAGAAAGAAGAAAGAAATTTCAAATAACTAAAACAAAAACAAAAAACCAAACTGGGAAGATTCACAGCATGTGTTGTTTTAAAAACTTACCACAAATCTTTAATAATTGAACCAATGTGATCTGGCATAAGGATAGACACCAAAATTATAAGAGTGGATTAAAAATGAGTCTAAAAATAGACACGTCTATCTATAGTCAACTTATTTTTGTCAAGCTCTCCATGACCATTCCAATGGTCTCTTTGACAAATGGCACTAGGACAATGGGATACCCATGTGCAGAGGAATGAAACAAGGCCCTTAACTCATATAAGATGTAAATATTGGCTCTGAATATCTCAAAGATTTATATTAAGAGCTTCACCTATAAAGCCGATATAAAAAAACACAGGCTAAATCTTCATGATCTTGGATTTGGCAGTGCTGTCATGGATGTTGAAACCAAAAGCATGATCAATAAAATGTGGAAATTTGGACTTCATCAACATTAACAACCTTTGGGGTTTAGAGGCAGAGCTCAGTGGTGAAGCATGTTTGGCACATTTGAGGCCTTAGTTTCAAGTTCTAGCAACTGCCACACCAAAACACAACCAAGGCATGAGCAAAATGCAAGAACATATACTTCTCCAAACAGAAGCAAATGTAAAGATGTCCAGCATCACTGTAATCAGGAAAGCACAAGTCCAAACCAGGGGATCCCAGCTGATTTCTGTGAAGAATGGTGACACGAACACAGAACTGGTTCTGACAGCTGGACCAGCAGGTTCACATCAGCTATGGCTTGCAACTGGCCAACCTGGTGACCATCAACAAAGACCTATCATTTTTATCTGAGCTCTTTATGTAAAAACAGAGTTGGTAGCTAAAGCCATCGTTCTGAAGAAGCCAAGAGGTGAAGAAAAACTTTCCAAACCTGTTTCACTTGGGAGGGACCCAACAGCTGGCTAGTGTACCTTAGCCTTTGAACACAGAGACACAGAATTTCTTTAAGATTACTGGATCCAGCCTCACTCATCATGTAACCAAGAGAAGTGAGGCACACAGATTGAGTAATGTGTGCAGGGTCACCGTGAAGGCTAATGTGGACTGTCAACTTCATGGTATTTAGGATTATGTAGGAGACAAGTGTCTGTGGGTGTCTGTGAGGGCACTTCCTCCGAGAGGGTTTTAACTGAGGTAGGGAGACCTAAATGTGGGCAGCACCATTCCATGGGCCAGGGTCCCAGACTGGCATTCATCTCTGTTTCCTGGCTGTGACTCACGTCATCAACCACTTTGCACATCTGCCCTCATGCCTGACATGAAGGTCTATCCCTTCAAACTGAGAGCCCAAATAAACTCTTCCTTCCCCAAATACCTGGTGTGGTATTTTGTCACACTGACAAGACAGGAAATGAATGCAGAAAAGAACTGAACCTGGTCTCTATAACTCCCAAGGTGAAAACAGACTAATTGTCAAGATGCCATTACTGAGGAAATAGAAGTCGAGTGTCCCTGCAGCAATGAAGAAGAGATCTGAGGTGGTTCCATATAAGGCATCTCATAATTCTGAGACAGGTAGGAACAAAGATCCAAGGCAATCATTCTCTGGTCCTTTTGTGACAAAGAGGTCACACTGCCTCTTTGGGGATCAGTTTCCCTGTTTCTACAACAAAGGAGCAAAATTAGATGACTCTGTGTCATGTCTCCCATCCTCTAAATTAGTGTAACTCAGAACCTGGAATAAGTGCTTTGCCTCCAAAGGCCTCAGAGTTCACATTGCCCTAAGGCTGGACATCTGGATCTGGTGTAGCTCTAGAAGATGCTGGAGAGGAAATGGGAGAGAGACGCCTGAAAGGGACGGTAAAGGGGACTTTTCAACTCCATGTTTTCCAAAAGGATCTCTCTTTTTTTATCTTTATAGCCAAATTCAAATTCCCTTCCTAATTTTAAAAGACAACAATCAGACTAAAGTTGCTCCTTTCTGAGGTTCTCATGAACCAGGTCTATCCAGTTCATTCTATTGACCCACTGTACATAATAGCTGCTTGTTACATATCTGTGAGTAGAAAAAGCAGCCAACTCAACCCACTCCAAGGCATGGTACAAACCTAGGGCTCACCCTCTGAAGGGATCATCTGCCTTTTCAACATCTGAGCTTTCTGGACTGGAGTTCAGGCCCAGGCAAAAAGGCTGTTTTCTGTGGGCCGTAAGTCCCCTGCAGCTGCAGCTCATAATTTGCATGTGTGTGGATATACACACATATGCATATTTCTAGAAAGAGGGTCTGTGCTGCCCATCAGATTCACAGGGGGAAATGTGTCCTCTTCTGCCACTTTTGCACCCAACATTCACATTCAGCCACACCAAGGCAGACCTCAGCTGCGGTCAAACAGATGTACAGCAAGTGGGATGAGTGCTTAGACTCTAAGCACTCGAACCTTAGAGGTGATGTGCAAGGACCACTGGGTAAAACCAGTGAATAAGGAACCAAGAAACAACCCCTACCACAGCATTTAGGGACATCTCACTTTTTCTCTCAGCTGGAAATGAACTGCCCTGTCTATAGCTTTCTCTCTCCTGGCAGATGCCTTGAAGGCAAGGATCCGTCTACACAGCCAAGCTTCTCACAGGTATAAGGAGCTTGATATACTCCTACTATGTGAACTATACTGGACTTGTACTTAACTTTAAATTCCTTCCTCACTCCCTCCAGAGCTTGACCTGAACCACCACTTACCCCTGGCGCATCCTCACCAGGATTCTCTAGTTGACCAAGAATCCCCACTGACTAGTTAGCTGTTTCAAGCCCTGGAGTTCTCTGGGGCTGAGTTGAGGAGAAAGAGCAACACCCACCAAAAGGATATTAAATGAAGGAAGAGCCATCATAGAAAGTGTAATGCAGCTTGATTGGCTTCTTGGGCCCCTTCCAATCTTGAGAATGGCGACCCATATGAGCATGGTGGCTGGAAGGCTGGTTAAGAGTGGAAGCAGTAACCTGAGTCCCCGCAGTGGGAGGTTGGTGAGGGTCCCCCTTGGAGGTCAACATTAAATGAGAGGATATCTTTGCCCTGTAGTTGCGTAAAATCATGGGACAGGAGACATTCCTCCCTTTCCACAAGATCCTTTCGGCTTCTCTGTGGGAAGGAGATGAACGCATCTTCTAGGCGCTCGGTTCTCTCTCTCCAGAGAGGTTCTTTCTCTATAGCCCCTTCTCAGCCCAGTCCCCTTGTCCTAAAGCACATCTTCTTCCCAGTCTTCTCCATGAGCAAAGGTAGTACTTTTAGGAGGAAGTGGGAAGGTGTCAATATGCCCTGGAAAGACCAGCTGTGTCTGACTGTCTGGACATATGGAGTGGAGCTCTATGGAGCAAACTCGGGAGCAGCTGGAGACAGACTATTCCCTCACCCACCCACCCCCCTCCTCAAGTTCCAGGTGGGACCCATCTAGAATGTCATAGTGCAGAGGTGAACTGGGTGGCTGTTGCCTACCTGTGCCCTGGCCCTATGATCCCAGGAGACATATATAACTTAGGTATGAAAGGAATTTTAGTTTTTATGAGCTGGGCCCTTAGAAAAATGGGTTTCTGTTAGGCCTCACAGTATCCCCAAATAATATACTAGGAATCACCTATGTGGATGATATATTTTTGGGGGAGATTTTTTTGAACACTTGGAAAATCATGCCATAAAGTCTATGAATTGCCAGGAGCCACACAAAGGACTTCCTTGGGTGAGGGAGGATGTTACAGAGGCAAAGAGCATTGAACGGGAATTGGGCTGACAGAGCTAGGCAAACTCAGGAACTGCTTTACTTTTCTTATTATCTATAAATTGGAAGGACCATAGGCTCGTGTGTGTGTGTGTGTGTGTGTGTGTGTGTGTGTGTGTGTGTGTGTAGGACACAGCTGGACTGGCATGGGGGGTGCACTTACTGCTGTGACACCCATCGATCCTTGTGTCCCACTTCCTATGGATACCATCCCTACATCTAGGCACTCACATGTGACGACACATATCATGCAGCTTTTCCCGGGCCTCAGGGCAGGGGTCCTGGAACTCAACGACAGTGCTTTCAGGAGGGGTTCGGGCTCGTGGGAGTGGGAGTGGGGGTGTGAGCTCATCTGTAGCCTTTTTGCCTGTAGTTAGAGGTAAGGAGTAGAAATATGGTGGGCTTCAGAGTGAGTTCTTGAGCATCACATTCTCTTGGGGGAGAGCTGCAGAACATGTTAGGAGGCTCTTATACTCTGCAGCAATGGGGATCATTGGCTGAACTTAGCCAGCCAATAATTAAAGGTACATCAGAGACTGAGGAACATAGCAATGAACAGTAACAACAGCAATGAAGTGTGGCTGATGCTTCCATAGGCCCCTGTAACCAGTTCCCTTTTACCAAGGAGGGTGAAGCATGAGAAGACAAGTCACACAGGCAGCCAGGATGGGTGAAGACTTGGCTTCAAGCTTCTCAACTTCCAGCCTTACCTCCAGTGTCTGTGGGAATCAAAGGGGCAATGTGAACCAACCCTGCCCTCCTTTACTATCCACTCCTCCCCTACCTGTCTGTCTCGTTCATGTTGTCATCATAGTTGGCAGGGTGGGTGGAAGGTCCTAAGGTCTCTCTCACTCTCAGCAGGCCCCTCCCCTTGGAGTTGCTTTCTCTCACCTGTTGTTTCCCTAAAGTTCCCTTCCCTTCTACATGGGCCTTTCTCAACAGGGCAAGGGAGTCTTCTGTGGTTTTGATTTCTGCCCATGCATTGTAGCCCCTCTAGAACACAGAACTGGAGCCTGCTAAGTTTGGGACACAAAGATCACTATTTTTCCACTGGCTGTGTGGCTGAACAGAGCTGTCTTATTCACAGGCATCAGATATGGATACTACCTGGGTTGAAGGACTTAATTGCATGAGGGACACACACTGGAATGGAATGCAATTCTGATTGCAGTGACTGGATGTGCTGCAGCTCTGGAGTGCTTATAAGGATTTGTGTCACAGGCTGCTGAATCTCGGTGAGCTGAGCATCCTTCTAGCAGACATGAGACCTAACCATGCTACCAACTGCACAGGTTAGATGCTGATCCAGCCATTCATTTCTCCTCCCAATGCACCATCATCAAGGATAGAGGGTGTGGACTCTCCCCACCAGAGAAACAGGCACAGAGAAGTGTGTGTGTCTGGCTGAAAACACTATTTCCTTTCTCACCTTTCTTCTTGCCTTCCTTTCCTGTGGAGAGGGAGAAGCTCAGACAGGCTGTGGAATTCTGGTAGACCAGCTGATAGGGCGTGTTCACTCCCATGGCAGAGATGTTCATGGGGGAGTCTAGAGAAGAAGAATGAATCTTCTTTACAATCTCTTACAATTTTACCTAAATTACAAAAATGTAATATAGTTTTCTCGTTCAAACAAGATGGTGGGCCAGATATTGCAAAGTTACCTATAGTCATAAACCAACCAGGAAGTCTTCTGACGAGAGACTTCTAGACATAAACACAAGAACACAATAAGTAAGCAACATCTTAAGGCTCCCTTTACAGGTCTCCCTGCCCCAGCCTCTTCAGGGTGAAGAGTGTCTCACAGTTACATGAGGAGCAGAAAGAAAGCACAGGGGAAAATCTTCAAAGGGCAAGTGCACATGTCAGTTTGGCACTAGGTGTGGACAAATCTAGGCAGTAGGGAGGAAGGGATGAGAATGGGCGCTCCCATTATCTAACGCATGGGAATCAGATGTTCTTCCAACAGCCTCTCAGTCCCACAGCATCACACTGTCTTCTGTGCCACCACCTGATACATGAGTCTTAGGTTTAAATAGAGGACAAGAATTATGTATCACCAAGTAGTCCTGCCCCAGGTGCAGGCTTGTCCAACACTGACAGAGCACTGCTTCTGAACTATGTCCTACAAGTTGTCTGTTCTGTGTGAAATCTCTTTCTTGGAGACAAGTTTTCCCACTGATTGGCAACAAGACTCAAGTCTTTTTCCTTCCCAAGCATGAGGCTCCTGGGGAAATTCAATTTCTTTGGGGTTCATGTGCCAGTAGTCTGACAGCCAAAGGGAAGAGCACAAATGGTCTCTATAGAGTATCTGCACTCCTAGTTACAATCATATAAGAAAACCTACAGCCTCATTCACCAGTTCGTTCCCCATACACTGTTATGTTACTGGTTGGGCATAAAACCAATGTTGGAAAACACTCAGAAATTCATTCAATACACTCAAATTCATAAAGAAAATGGTAAACTCAACCTAATTATGTAAACAAAGACAGAGTCTCCACCCTGGAGGAGCAAAACACAAGAACAATCACTATTGCTAATGCTTCAGCTATTAAAATGAAAACAGCTTTCAGCACCTTCTACTCCAACACAAATGAGAAAAATGAGTAAGAGCTAATTGTCAGTCTGTCCATGTAGAGAAAAGCATGTGGAAAGCTATGCACAGACTGTAATCCTCTGCCCCAGTAATCTCTCACCTAGGAAATTGGTCTTAACCAATGCAACAGAATGAAAAATACAGTTGGCATGTAGAAGTAGAAGCAAAAAGCGTGTGAAGCTAAGCTCTTAGATAAATATGGAACTTGAGTGTTGGAGTCTAGCCCCACTCACATGGCACATGTTGCAAACCATACAGCCACCTAGCAAACATCTTCAGTTGACATGTAACAGAAACTGAGAGACAATGGCAATACTATCAAAACGTATATGCATGAACCAAGATAACAAGAGTGTTTTCTTTTTGGAATTTTTTACTCAATAATGCCACTGTCAAAGGAAAATAAAGGAGCAGCCATGAGTTAGTCTGTGACAAATCAGCAGGGCAGGTATCGTGACAGGAAGACAAGCAGAAAGCAGTCTTCCACCAGGAAAATGTCTCCTTAGCAAAGGGTATGTTTAAGGAGATATGCCAGGCAAACTTACTAGAAGGCATCTCATAAAAACACAAATTTTGCAACAAAATATCAAACTTTGAACTTAATGCACTAGGAAATTAGTTAATTAAAATCTTTTTTTTTTTTTTTTTTTGAGACAGGGTTTCTCTGTGGTTTTGGAGCCTGTCCTGGAAATAGCTCTTGTAGACCAGGCTGGCCTCGAACTCACAGAGATCCGCCTGCCTCTGCCTCCCGAGTGCTGGGATTAAAGGCGTGCGCCACCACCGCCCGGCTAGTTAATTAAAATCTTGAGTCAAATGAAAGCCTTCCCAGAAGAAATAAATGGAATCGTTCCTTTCACTGTATTTGACTATTTTGACCCGCAAAAACCTGCCCCCTGCCCCGCAAAAAGATCCTCAGAGCTTTTTAAAAGAGAAGACTATCTCAGTCTAGGGAGATAGCTCAGTAGATAAAAACACTTCGAAAGCCTGATGAGCTGAGTTCAATCCCCAGAACCTGTCTAACGATGAAAGAAGGGAACAAATTCTACATAGAGCTGTGCTCTTACCTCACATGTACACATCATGCACACATATACAATAGCAATCAATAAAAATTTTAAAGTGAGAGAGATAAATATCTGCGCCAAGTATCAACCAGTGAGAGATTTCTAAGTGACTTCAATGATGGGAGGGGCTTTTCCATTGTTCTGGCATCTTTTCCTGCTGTGAGATCTCTGTGTAGGCCTGGCTGTCCTGGAACTTCTTCATCACCTCTTAGTCCCACCATAGCATGCACCAGCAGTTTTCATGGACTCCCAATATTACTTTCACTAACTTCCATGAAATCCTATGCTTTTTCCTAGATCTGGAATTTTACTATTTAACTGATTTACTCTGGATATGTCTATCATTATCAGGTATTTAACCTCCAATCATCAGGGGAGCTTGACAAAGTCACTGCCTTGGTGGCAAGGAGTAGTGAAATGGTGGCTGACTCCTCAGGCAACAGAGCACAGGTATAAGATTTGTTCTGAGGTCTAATGACAGTACTGCTAAGCATTCAAATGAACACTAGTGTACCAAACCAAACTAAAGATATAAAACATCACAGGGGGATGTTGATTGAAAAAAATCAGAATGGATATTTGCTAAAGACATACAAATGGCCAACAATATATAAAAAGATGTTTTAAGTTATTAATCATCAGAAGACCATAAATCAAAGTCACAATAAAATATTATTTTGTGACTTTTATCAAAAATAAAAAACAACAATTGATGTGGGAGTGATTTCTTAATAATAAAGAAACTGCCTCGGCCCTCATAGGACAGAAAATTAGGTAGGCGGAGTAAACAGAAGAGAATTCTGGGAGAAAGAAGCTTAGTGAAGGAGTCGCCATGATTCTCCCGCTCCAGACAGACGCAGGTTAAGATCCTCCCTGGTAAGCCAGCTCGTGGGCTACGCAGAATATTAGAAATGGGTTAGAACAATATGTAAGAGCTAGCCAATAAGAAGCTGGAACTAGCCGGGCCAGGCAGTGTTTGAAAGAATACAGTTTCCGTGTAATTATTTCGGGCATAAGCTAGCCATGCGGGCGGGCGGGTGCCGGGGATGCAGCCCCGCTGCTCCTACTTCAACAAACAATAGCTAAGTGGCAGTGGCACCTGCCTTTAATCTCAGACTCAGGAGGCAGAGGCAAGATGATCTTTGTGAGTTTGAGGCCAACCTGGTCTGTAGAGAAAGTTCCAGGACAAGCCAAGGCTACACAGAAAAATCCTGTCACAAAAGCAACAAAATAATAATAATAAACGAAAATAAAAACAATAATAATGCTAATGAGGGCATGGAAAAAAGAGTTTTGTAATTGTGGTAGCATTGTAACTGAATATAACCATAATAAAGATTCTCTGAACAATTAAAACTGCTGTGCAGGGTGGCACACAACTGTGATCACAGCATTTGGCAATCTAAGGCAGGAAAATTATAAGGTAATGCTACATAGCAAGACCCTGTATCAAACAAAACAAAAAATAATAAAACTTATAAATATAACTACTGTATGGCAACCCCACTTGCAGGTAATTTAAAGGAAATGAAGTCAGGATCATAAAAGAGATACTTGCATACCCGTGTTCACTGCAGGATAATTTCCAATAGGCAAAGGGGATGAGCTTGAGTATCCATCAGTGGGTGAACAAATAAAGAAAATGTGGTACGTAAAGAGAGTAGGATAGTATTTGGTCTTAAAAGGTAGTGGAATCCTACCATTTACACCAAGATAGAGAAGTTTAGAGGGCATTATGCTGAGTGAAATAAACCAGGCACAAAAGATAAATCCTGCAAGAGCTCACTCATGTGTGAACTCTAAAACATTCAAACTCACAGATGTAGAAAGAACAATGGTGGTTGCCGTGCATATTCAGGGTGATGTTGGTATTAGGTACAAACTTTCCTAAGTCCTGGGATCAAATGAGCAGCATGGCAGTGTTGTTACTTTTACAGTTTAGTGCACTTGATATTTGCTAAGAAGGTCGGTAGAGCTTAGCTGGTCTCTTTATGCACACAGGTAAATATGTGAAATGAAAACAGATTACAAACATTGAACTGCTGACCCGAGTGAACTGTGATATTGCAGATCTTGCTCCCCCCTACTTCCATATCTCCAGAGATCACCTCCTCTAATGTTTCTCCTCCCATTCTGTTCAGCCGTATTTTGTGATATTCATAAACAATATCTTTTTGCTTATATTAAACTATTAAATAAATCACCACAAACACATCCTTTCATACCTCCTTTTGCCAGATGATATTTTTTAAGAATTACCTACACTGCTGAGTTGCTAATGCTTTAGGGTTGGGGGTACAGGGTCTCATGTAGCCCAGACTGGCCTAGAACTCATTAGGTAACTGAGAACGATCTTGAACTCCTAATTCTCTTGCCTCAGGACGAGAGGTATGCGTTATGTGCCCAGCTTGATTTGTTCTTTTTTGATGCTCACTATGAAATAGTATCTGCATGAACCATAATTCATCACCATTGATAGAAAGCTGTTTCTAATCTTTCTGCCTTTCCAAATGGTTCTGTGATAAACATTCCTGTAGGACTGCTTGTATGTAAGGGCTGAGTTGTGGCCAGCAGATGGGAGCTGATTCCCATATGCCATGAACAGGTGAGCTCAGACATAAAGCATCAGGACTGACAGCAATCTGAGTAGTGATTTCATTGCTATGACATCTTTACCATGTGTACTAAAGGGCTGGTGTGCAAGAGACTGGAAATTTTAGAAGCTTACTCTTGAGAAGCATACTCTAGAACTAGAAAGAGGAGTTACACGGTGAGTTGGAAGGTGTAGACATTTCTACCAACAAAAAACTAGGCTGTCCTCCATCAGAGGTGTGTGAGTTGTCCCTGCTAGCAGCTGGGGTCTAGGGCTCCTGCTACTCCACAGCCACCTCAGCTCTTGGGAGCTTTGGCCTTTCAACTGTAGCTTTTACCTTCCTAGTACCTACCTTCTTGTTGGCTCTGTTTGCATATTTTCCCTACAGGAGGGTACCCACCTTTCCCCAGCTGTGCTGAACTAAAGCAGCTTTTTCCGACAGTGCCAATCAGGCAGTCAAAGGCCATCTCCTTGGCATTGAGATGGAGAAGCTGGCTGGCCTCCACAAAGCGCTTGGTGATGTCCAGAGGATTAGCGCCTGCTGAAGGAATGAACAAAGACAAAGTGTTTTCTTCCTGGCAAGGATGTCTCTTCCAGAAAAAAAAAAAAAAAACTTTGCAAATGACCCAGGAAATAGTAGAAGACTAGGAAGGCCCAGGAAAAGATGAACTCATTCCTGATGTAAAGGTGAGGAGCTCCTGACATGTACACTCGACTGAGCAGAGAGCTCAAGATCGGCAGGCAGTACTTTACTCCCAGTCTCCCTGCCTGCCGGCCTACCTTGCCCACAGCTGAGTACTGAGGCCTCCAAGAGACTTCTGCTGACACTGTCTTGGGTTCTTCCCCATTCCTGGAATGATGCCCTCGGTTTGGAGGCACTGGGCTCAGATTTTTCTTGGCATAGGGTGGACCAGGCTCTTGATTCATAAATTCTATGTCTCTTCTCTCCAATGCAGCTCTTTCCACCTCTGTATCACCATCCCAAATGCTCCCTTCAGTGTCTCTAATGTCTCACTGCCAACACTGCTAACTTTTGAACAGGCACTCGAGATGGGAGGAGAGTGGGAAAGCAAAGAAGGCAAAAGGAGAGTACTGGGCAGGGAAGAGGGAAGCATGGTTCTTGCAGCAGACCCACGGCCACCACTCCCATTTCCAGTGCATACTTCTATAGGTTAAGTATCCCTTAAAACAGAGCTTGAGCTAAAAGAGTGAGGGACTTTGGGGGAGACTGGGATTTGGGAATGTCTTCCTTTACATATGGAGATATCTGGGGATGGGACTCAGACATGGAATTCGAATCACTGTGCACTGTCAGCTGTGGAATGTTCTGTGGCATTATGTGAGCATTCAACATCCTCAGACTGCAGAGTATTTTAGATTCTGGATTGTGGATGCTCAACTTATACCTGTTGGGGTAGATGTTATGCATGTGCACAGACACCACACACATACAACTCATACCTGTTGGGGTAGATGTTATGCATGTGTGCGCACACAGCGCGCACACACACAGACACACACACGTACCTGTTCAGAAACGGAGGGGAAGGGAATCTGTGAGCAGCCTTACCAGAGGCAGACTCCACCATGGCCTTCATCTTCAGGGAAAGCAGCTCTGTCAGCAGGTGGATGGATTGCCGCTGGAACTTGTGCAGGGTATCTTGACCAGAGGGCACCAGTCGAGTAGAGGCAGGAGTGGGGGTCGAGTGCTTGCGCCCGCTGGGGGTTGTCTGCAGTACTGGTGGTGGTGGGGGTGGTGGGGGTGGCTTCTTCTGCAAGGGGACCTGCACTGGGATCACCTCTGCAAGCACCACTGTAGGAGTTCCAAAGCTGATCACCAGATCCTGGATCTCAGACGGGGTGGGCACTGCAGGGTCACAGATGAGTTCCTCCCAGGTGAACTCAAAGATATTCCTGATGCCTTTTGGGATGGTAATGCCTGAGTTTCGGCAGACAATGAGAAGTTTGGAGACGCGGGCCAGCAGTTTGGGGGCTGTGGCTGAGTATTGTAGGAACAGTTCTCGGTTACTTTTGACCTGGTTCATGTTGCCTGGGCAAGCATTCTGCTAGGTGGTACTGTCCATCTCAGAGGAGAGGGACCTTCAGCTGTAAAGACTCTGTAGTCTGAGAAGTGAAGTGTCTAGGGTCAGTTCTTACCTACAGAGAAGCCTTGAGAAAAGATGGAATGTACATGCAGAAATGGCCCTCACAGGTCATCGAGCCAGCAGGATAAGAGTCTCAGAAGGATAAGAAAGTTTCTTGTCCTTCTTCCATGCTAGAATAAAGCATTGTTACCTTCCCTCATCTTTCCAGGAACAGCAATGTGGGTGAGTTACACTGGGAAAGGTCTGCTGACAAGGATGGGCCCAGAGAGGTTCCAGAGAGGGCCACAGAAACGGAGTACCTAGATGAACAAAAGGGACAGAGCAAGGAGGAAAACCATACTTTTGTTAGTTAGCAACCTGAGGACAGAAGATCTGCCTGTGGTCTACTGGCAAAAGTCTGCAAAAATGAAAGGATGCCATTGGCTCTTTCCAGAAACAAGAGACATGGAAGCTTCTGGTCACAAACCTGGGCTGGGTATCCGATTACTCAACATGTACAGCCTAGACCAGAGACAGGGCATGAAGGACAATGCAACCCCACAATTCAGTATCTGATAGCACAGACCACATTCTACCAAGTCTAGGACATCAACAATTGGAAAATGCACTGTTATAAAGATGCCATTGGCTGGAAGATGTAACACAACTGTGAAGATGTTACAGTGTGAAAAATGCATACTGTTAGGGACTGTGGGGAGCATTTTCCTCCTTTAACAGAGATGCTTAAGGAGTCTCAATGCTCAAGTAAGCACTGGGAGGCAGGGGGTTGGGTTTAGATGATGACACATTTATGAAAACATAAATCCTCTCTCTTATGCTCAACAAGAACAATGCCCAATAATGCCTGTTTATTTCTGAGGGCCTTCATGAGGATGTGAACTTCTACAAGAGGGCAACACATGGGACTGTCCATTTGAGGGAAGTTCATGCAGGACTGTCCTCTGGTAGCATTTCTAGCTTCTCCCTACAGTGCTGGCTTATCTCTACCATCTATCTAGAAGCCAATCTAGTATGCTTGCCATGTCAGCCACAAGAGCAGAGGTAGGCTGCTGGCTGCATCTGGCAGAGTGCAGCCTCCCAATCATCCCCTTTTCCACTTTCCATCCTGACCACCACTTCCCCACACAGGCAATCCTCTTCTCCTTTTCAAGCTCTGATATGGGGGCCCACCCCAAGTTCCAGGACCATTCCAGGACAGCTCCTCAGGCACACACCTGAAGTGCTTGTAGAGGTCCATGCCCACTAGCTGTGCACAACCTGTGGTGAGAAGACTGTTCTATCCTAACTTGCTGAAGAGCAACCAGAGCTCTAGATTGGGAGATGTCTGTCCCTAGCATGAAGACTTTTGCAAACACTATACCACTTCTCCCCGGCCTTTGATCTATCTTTGCCCATCAGGAACAAAGTTCCCAAACAGCAAGAGTCCCATAGGACAAAGCTCCTAATATTCTACAGGCTTGAAGACAAGGTGGCTTCCTGTGTCTATCTGCTGACCTCTGGCATTGCCATTTCTCAGCTTTGTAGACTCAGAAAAATAGATTTATTCTGGAATGGTCAGTCCACAGAACAAAGACACCACTCAGAATCTCAGGGATCAGGGCAGCAAGTCAGAGAGGTCTGACCCTAACTGTACAGGGCACATGATGATGATATCTCTTCTCCTGTCACCCTCACCGTCCCACCCTCATTTTTCTCCTCCTCCCTCTCCTCATCTTCCTTCACTTAGGACTGAAATGAAGAAAAAAAAAGATGACTAAGCAATCCCTGAAATCCCTGCAATGCTAACTGTTTGGGAAACTTCTCTCCCATACCCTTAATTAGTTCCTACCACTTGAGATTAATTATGAAGATATGCTATAATATAGATAAAAGAACAGGCAGAGCTATAAACCCCACATTGTATGCATGTTTTTGTAAAATGAACATTTATGTGTTGTATATTCAGAAATGCAGCCAATATTATTACTGAATTTTAGAGTAGTTCATCTCCTAAACAAGTATATTTGTGATCACTCCGTTTTGCCCACCCCAAACAACTTCACCTAGCCTGTGTATATAGACTTAGCTGTTTTTAAGGTATTTTTAATGATTTTAATAAGGTGTAGGTATGTACATCCACATGTGGGTACGTACATATTAGTGCAAGTGCCTGCAGAGGCCAGAGGCATGGGATCCCCTTGGAACTGAAGTTATAGACAAGTTGTGAGTTGCCTTTCTTGGGTGCTGTAAACTGATCTTGGGTTCACTGGAAGAGCAGCAAATGTTAAGCACTGAGACTTCTCTCCAGCCCCAGATTTGCCTCTTTTTATGTATATTTATATACATATGTATGTGCAGATATATGTACATGCTTGTTCAAGAATGTGGAGACTATGCTGGGCAGTGGTGGCACACGCCTTTAATCCCAGCACTTGGGAGGCAGAAGCATGCGGATCTGAGTTTGAGGCTAGTCTATAGACCTAGTTCCAGGACAGAGAAACCCTGTCTCAACACCCCCTCCCCCCAGAAAAAAGAATGTGGAGACTAGATATTGCTTCTCAAGAGTCACACACCTTGTTTCTTTTCAGACAGGGTCTCTTACTAGAAACTGGGAGTCACTTATAAGCGGGAACAGATGATCAATAAGCCCCAGAAATCTGTTTCTCCCCAGAAATCTGGAATTACTGCACAGTAAATATAGTACTGGAGGTCAAATCCAGGCCTTCATGCTTGCTTGCACAGTCAGCAAGATATCAATTGAGTTATCTCCTATCTCCTAGTAGCCCGTATTTGCCTGTTCTGAACATTTAATATAAAGGGAATCATGAATTATGTGGTCCTTTCTACCCCTTTAAGAGCTCTTGGTACTTGATGGCTACTGGAGGAAGAAGTCATGTTTGTTTGAGAATATGGTCACGGATATATATGGTTCCCAGCACATATATATACATATATACATACACACACATACATATATGTGTATGGTATATATGGATACCAGCAACACTAATTGGACTTGGTGGGCATGGTGGTTTAAATGGATAATGTCTCAGGCTCACATATTTGAACTCTTGGTCCTAGATTGGTGGCACTATCCTGAGAGAAGTTTTGGGAGCCTGTGAAAAGCTTGCTGACTCAAGTGTCACCGGAGTTGGCCTTGAGGTTGTTGCATTAGGAGCGGCGGGGCTGTGTCCCCGGCACCCGGCCGCCCGCATGGCTAGGTTATGCCCGAAATAATTACACGGAAACTGTATTCTTTCAAACACTGCCTGGCCCACCTAGTTCCAGCTTCTTATTGGCTAGCTCTTACATATTGTTCTAACCCATTTCTAATATTCTGTGTAGCCCACGAGCTGGCTTACCAGGGAGGATCTTAACCTGCGTCTGTCTGGAGCGGGAGAACCATGGCGACTCCTCACACAGCTTCTTTTTCCCAGCATTCTCCTCTGTCTACTCCGCCTACCTAATTTTCTATCCAATAAAATGGGCCAAGGCAGTTTCTTTATTAATAAGAAATCACTCCCACATCATTTCCCCTTTTTCTGTTTAAACAAAAAAGAAAGGCTTTAACTTTAACATAGTAAAATTACATATAACAAAACAGTTATCAAGTAAGAATTACAGTTACAATATTTATATCTATTTTATCTCTTATCATAACTAAGGAAAACTATAACTATTTATTCTTCAACTCCATCAAAGACTCCAGAAGGATATAATATTATCTAAGTAAACAAGAAATAAGAAAACTCTAGAAATGACAGAGACATCTCGCTGCCTGGACAGTCACCCAAAGTTCCTCTGTACCGTTGGGGCATCCATCTTCGGCCTACAGGCCCATGGTATCCAGATACATTTCCATGAAGCAGGAAATTTCAAAGACAGTTCAGTCATTTTCTGCTGTGTCCTGCAGAATGTCTCGCAGACTCTTTCATGAATCAGGAACCCCGAAAGACCATCTCACCTTTAGGCAAGTTCAGCAGTCCTCTCTCTGAGGGTTCTCTGTGTCCAGTTTATGCAACAGTCCAGGCAAGAGCAGTTTCTTGCCCAAATGACTATCCAACTCCATAAGGATCCTCTTCGATGCCCATCTTCCTCTTGAAGTAGCTGGTGCTGCCAGGAGCAGACGTGTCTCCTTGTCATGAAAAGTCCTAAGTTATTAAAATATTTTAAATGCCATATTCTGCAGTCTTTGAAAGATATGAAGAATGCCTATCTAATTGAAATATATCTCTATATATCTAGAAAATCGAACTAACATGACTACAAGCTTGACTATTATTGATGATTACCCATTAGCAACCTATATTTCCTAATTATACATTACATTTTAAAATGAACTACACAATCACAATACCTTAATCAAGATCAAAAATACATATACATATAACAAAATTGACCATAAAATCCATAGCAATGCAAATTATTCATATCTATATCATGTCCCCCTTTAAATGTAAAAGAACATTTATAAACAATATTTGGGAACATGGGCGTAGTTTTTTCTCTCCAACTGCTTCCTGCCATGTTGGGCGCCACTCTGTTGCATTAGGAGCGGTGGGGCTGCGTCCCCGGCACCCGGCCGCCCGCATGGCTAGGTTATGCCCGAAATAATTACACGGAAACTGTATTCTTTCAAACACTGCCTGGCCCGCCTAGTTCCAGCTTCTTATTGGCTAGCTCTTACATATTGTTCTAACCCATTTCTAATATTCTGTGTAGCCCACGAGCTGGCTTACCAGGGAGGATCTTAACCTGCGTCTGTCTGGAGCGGGAGAATCATGGCGACTCACTCACTCAGCTTCTTTTTCCCAGCATTCTCCTCTGTCTACTCCGCCTACCTGATTTTCTGTCCTATGAGGGCCGGGGCAGTTTCTTTATTATTAACCAATGAAATCAACAGATAAGATACAAGACCCACCTCCATCAGAGGGTTTTTAGCCTTGCCTCACTTCCCAATC